AATTTAGTCCTTTACTGAGCTCTTTCCTGAAATTCACTTGGATGTTACCAAAGTCTTCGGCCCACACCCAAAGGGTATCATTTGGCAAGCCACTATAAGAATTATGGCTGGGATTCCCTGGTGGCGCAGTGGTTGAGAGTCCGCCTGCCAATGCAGGGGACACGGGTCCGTGCCCCGGTCTGGGAAGATCCCACATGCCGTGGAGCGGCTGGGCCCGTGAGCCATGGCCGCTGATCCTGCGCGTCCGGAGCCTGTGCTCCACATCAGGAGAGGCCACGGCAGTGAGAGGCCCGTGTAACGCAAAAAAAAAAAAAAAAAAAAAAAAAGAGTTATGGCTGCTGAAGATATAATTTAAACAAGGATTAGTTTGGGGACTGGAAGAATCAAGCGTTTTGGAGTGTAGAATCTGACAAGAAGCGGCTAAGCTACCGAAAGACGAGAGTCTTGTGGGCATTTATCTGATGGTTTTAAAAACAGTCAGCTAGATTAAGTAAAATCATCACTGGAAATCTTTCTGTAGGAAAGCAAGGCCTCTGAAAACAATTGCTGTTGGTTTTTCCACCTCCAAGTTGTCAGTACTGAAAAGAAACTCAGAAAAAGTAAAAGGCAGTTTCATTTAATGACAGCTTTGTACTTAATAGGCCCAGCAGCTTTTACACACGCTGAGCAGCCTGCACCCAGGATGCAAAGCTGCCGCTCTTCTGTGCGGGAAGATTGAAGCGAGAAGCCACGGGGTGGATTAAGTACGCCTGCCGATAGCAGTAGGAGGGCTGCAGGCTTCAGAGACATCCCAATGTTCTAATAACGGAATACGCTGATGTTTTGGTTTTGTCATCGTGAACTAGGGTGCAAGGGGAAGAGGCAAGAGGGGCAACAAGGGCTTTCAGCCCCGCTGTGGAATGCTGAGTCTGTCTGGGCAGAGCCTGCCCCTCGCCGGCTGCATGCGGGTCCCCTCTCCTCTCCAGCCCTCCCCAGCCTCTGCTGTCACCTTTCCCCAGGTCCCCAATCTTAATCATCAGGAAGATTCTGGACAACAAATTTACAGAGATATCTGAGTCAAAGGCTCTTGCATATTCTGGTTTTTGACACCCTGACCAAGGGCAAAGTCATTATGTTTTTGACTTCTCAGTTCCTGTACTCAGTGCCTGCTAGTATCACGCTCAGGAAAATGTGACCAATACTCCCTCTCTGTCGTCTTTATTGATCAACTATGGCTACTGCTGGCCTGTGAAGAAAGGAAAGGTGGGCCTTTACAAAATTTCTGTTCCACACCGTTCACTCAGGACTGAGGCAACTGATCTAGAATATGACAAAAACACAAAAATCTTTACTGCAACAATAAAACCAAAAGGAAACACACAAAAGGCCCTCTGCAAACGCTCTTTCTCACTACTACTATTTCAGCACTAGCACGCTTGCCAATTTTCTGAGATTCTGAAATGTAAATAGATAGACAGATAAAGTTAGTCTGGGTCTCTTTTCATTAAATGCTTAATCACTTAGCTCATTTCCATAAATTGGCATGAATTCAGTCTCAACTTCTTTCTTTTTTTGCCTAACCACCCACTTTTTAGGAGACTAAAAGCTGAAGTTCCTAAGGGTGAGCAAGTTGATGTTTTCTCATGAGACCAGAACAAAATACATTTGGGCGGTTTAAAATTTTGAACCCAGATCTCTGTCTTATTTCAAAACAACTGTCACAAAGGTGCAATCTGCCTTCCTATGTTTTCTAATTACTAACGATGAATCATTTTTACTCTAATTCACTTATAGATTTTCTATCTTATTGCTATATTCATTTTCCACTTTATACATGTATTATTATGGTAAGAATCTGAACTTACAATGAATTTAGAAGACATCTGCCTTTAAGAATGCATAACATTAACAAAAGATAGGCCCCAAAATTACCCACCAACATGGACAATTACAAATTCCTTTATAACGTTTGCAAAGTATGTCTGTCTTTCTTCAAGGCCTGTTTCTCTATTGTTTGGGACAAATGTGACTTTTACTTGAAAGCCACATTTTAAATTGTTTACAGTGTATTTTGTTAAGTGAACTAAATTAAATTTCGTATTTACCAATCATATTTCTCATCTATAACCATTCACAAGAATCTTCAAGAAGTGATTTTAAACATTCTAAACAACTCAGATTTTTAAAGATACTATAAGTTTTATGTTAGATCTTTCACTAAACTGACTAGAACTTTCATTTCTGAATATTTGGGTAATACAATTATTAGGAAAATTACTTAATTGAAAAGAATGATTTCAACTACATGAGAATCGAGAAGAGAAAAATTAATTGCTTTTATTTCTAAAAGCTTCTATGTTAATTAGAATATATGTACTCCAATCTTTAATAAAGACCCAGCAAGAAGAAAGTGGAAGCACTTAAAATCATGGATTCTCTTTAGACATATTAGAGAAAGGGGGGGAGAAACGCAAATTTCAAAATGAAGTTTCCATGTAAGCAATTAATTTTTCTCATTCACGTGTCAGTTTCTCTGTATCCTTAGAGGCAAGTCCCACTCCGTTGCAAAGGCGTCATCGGGAGCCTGTTTTCTCACAATGAGATGACTACCAAACTCTCAAAGAGAAATTGACAAGACTTTAAAAGGAAAAGGAAGTGAAAGGCACATTCTTGGGAACTTTTAATCACTGTAATTCGGTCATTCCATATAAGCCTTCAGACTGTAGCCCTCTTTCCTAAGGCTCTGAAAAAACCAATTTGTTAAAAAAAAAAAAAAAAAAATTTGTTAACCTGACAGACAAAATTATCAAGCGGTGAATTCATTTTGGTGAAAAAAAAAAAAAAAATGGGGAGACCAAACTGGGGGAGAAAATTGATAATACTTTGCCCACTCCAAGCAAAACATTTTAAAAGAAGCAACCAAATGCTGAGAGAAGAAAAAAGCAAGCTCCAGGCAAACAAATGTGTAGAGCAGCAAATCTAGGCAGCACAATTCCCCAGGCAACAGGAGAAACCAGTGAAACTTGCGAAGCCTCCAGTACCATCATATCCAATGATTTCCCAGGAAAATATTTCAGAATGGAGAGAGGGTGAAAACTTTCCCAGCCCCCGAGCCCTAAGATGTACAACCATATTCCACCACTAGGTGGCGGCTGCTAAGGCTGGGAGCGGGGGAGGGGGGCTGTTTTGTCCGCTTTTCCCCCTACAGGACTCACTGCCCCGTTCAGGAGAGAGCCCAGAAGCCCCCACCTTGATCCAATTTGCTAAAATGTCCCGTTAGGGAAACAGAAAACATTCATGCTTTAGAACCTGAAGTCACCAAGTAACAGCCTCTCTTAAAAGTCTGTTCACACCAAAGCTGAGCAATGGGAAGGATAGACCTGCACATTTTCAACTCTGCTGGAGTTTTCAAAGCAAATCTTCCAGGCTGCTGCTTTAGAGACAAGTGACACCGAAATTACGACGTGAGCTGCTGAGCTGTGCATCACCTACTCACACAGCGTGTACAGTGCCACAAGGTGATGGAACCGTCTGGATAAACATGAATCGTTTTATTGTTGGCCAGAAAGTCTTCCTTCATTCATTAAAGTGGGTGAATGAAAATATTAAGAAGTAAATAAGGCGTTTTCGTGGGCTGCTCCCCGAGTATCCTTCTGAAGCCAAGACCTTACGTAGACTGCCTACTACCTTGGGTGTCAAATAAAGCCTCCTCCCACGAAAGGGAAAACCACTTCCCCTTTCATAAAAAGGCTGCACCCAGAGCTCAAATCCTGGCAAAAGAGATGTTACATAAATTCCAGGTGTTCCTAAATATGTATGTTTACACGCACGCAATCATTTTAGGAAGCATGCAAGTTTCTGGGCCACTTTCTCTCTTTTTCTTTTCTTTCTTTTTTTTTTTTCCATCTCAAGGAAGAGTCAGAAAGTGTGTTTATAGTCTCGGCTTAGGTTCTTACCCACTCCATTCAGACGATATTTCCTGATAGCCTAATGCAGAAAAATCTAATGATTTCCATCCAAAACGCATCTAAACACGTGGCACACTTACCTTTCTTTCCTTAATTGAGCCCAAAACCAAAAAATTCACTTACCTCTCCTCCTCCCCAAAGCGGGGGGGAACCCACCCCTGAAATCCTGAATTATTTTCTAGATGAGTTGTACAGCCATCCTCTCGTTACTCTATGAACAGGCTAATTCCTCAACATCTTACTTTGCCTTTAAAAGGCTTCCTTCCACACGACGGGATTTCCCTAAGAAACATTCCCAGCGGATGGTTTCCAGCAATAGCCTATATCAACTCAGCCTGCGCAAGCAAAGACTGGCTTCTAATAATTCCCCCCCTACCCCCCCCCC